ACCAGATCATTCCAGTGGGGAATGAACTGTCTCCTCTCTCATTTTCAACGACATGATTTTATAAATAATCAAATATTATAAAACAGATAAAGCTACTGTCTCAGAATGTATATCCTCAATCAAATTTTGGCTCTACAACTGATATCACATATATCCATCGGATAACAGTAAAATGGGTAAGGAAAATCAAAAGGAGAATCAAACAAACAAATGGCATTAAAAGAAAATTGGAGAAATAAAGCTATGAGCAAATAAAGACGGGCAAGCAAAAGTCTACTTACTGGCCAAATCGAATGACATCACCCACACGTAAGTCCACATAAGTCCTTTTAGTCACCTAAGATGGGGAAAAACTCAGCATGATATCACAAGCACAAGACATAAAGATAGGCCTCTAAACACAAAGTTCCTACTACAAAGCAGAAAGTTGACCTTCTAAACGTGTTACTATCTTAGCAGAAAATCCAACGGAAAAACATGTTACAAATATAATAAAGTTGGACAGTAATACCTGATTTTTATTGACAGAAGTTCCATGCGTGCTGCCAAGATCATAAAGATAGGCCTCGCCACTACTCCTAAACTGAAGCACTAGTAAAGAGAAATGACAATTAAAAGTAACAAAAGGAAAACCATTAACTTTAGCAGTCCTCAAATTTAATATTTGTGCATAAACCATAGATATTTGAAATGAAACAAACAGTCTAATAATAGCATTTACAAGGATAAAAAAGAGAAGAAGAAAAAAAGGTTTACAACATGTAGCATAAAAACACCATCTTGTACAAGTGAGTAAATTGGAAACCAGAAAATGCACTTATCATGGAATCTATGACAACTCTAGCTTCTAGAGGGTACAGAGTTGGTCATTTTAGAGAAATTTGATTAATCATTTCACAACAATATCACAACTCACAAGCCAAAGATGCTATTCATTTCAGTCAATTTAATCTGGTTTTATTATAAAGTAGAAACTATAAACAGCAGACAAAAGACTTCAACTCAGAAAAGCTATATTGCATGAGATGCAGAAAGATTAACATTTTGCTGGCCAGTGAAAGGACTAAAATAGGATAAGGTTTGATAGCCTTCACAATGAATTTTAAATATGTAACTCCACGTAACCATAACCTTAATGATCTGAACTTAATAAGGAGGAAACCCAAAAAAAATCTTGCTCCTTTTATTTGGAATCCACTCATTTTTCCATTTTAACAACGCAAAAAAGATTTACCAGCATGAAACCGCGAAATAGTGGGATGTTCAAGCACAAAATCACAGATATCAACACGCCCAAACATATAAGCTCCCTTCTCATACCTACACAAACAAATTTCACAAATCTTCAACATCCCCCCCAAAATAAACAATAAGAATGAAGGATTAAAAGGGTGAAAACAGTTACACTTTAAATTGGTCAACGATGCAGCCATCTTTAAGCATCTCGAGGAAGAAATGGTAACAAGGAGGTCCACTCCACTGAGGGATTGTGTAAGGCACAGGTGATTGCTTTAAATTCAATGGCCTTTCAATTGAATTTGGTTCCGTATTTGAGTTTGACTGTTTGTCTTCGTCTTGGGGATTTTGCAGGTTAGGGTTTATGGGAGGAGATGGTGGCGGAGGACCCATCGAGGTTTTGGCTGTATTGGGTTCGGATACTTCTTCGGCTACCGGTTCGGGTTCGGTGGAGCGATTAGGATTCCGGGGAGGCGGTGGACCCATCGTGACAGTCATGGTTGAGGGAAAGATAGACGAAAGGAGAGGAGTTGCAGAAGTTTGAGAGTAAGGCGGCACAGCGAGCAATGTTAAGGCGGATCTATGAATGGGTTACGGGTCGAAGTATTAAGACCAAACCAAAAATGACAGGGTCGGTTTTGGTGGTCTTGTATTGTATATACTTATTTCTAAAACGTGTGTAATTAAAAATTAAAATTATTTTATAATCGAGGACATGTATGTCGACATGATTTTAGTTAGGGTAAATTACGTGTTTAATACATAAATTATTACTTTTGATTTGTTTGAGTACTGAAATTTTTTATTTTTTCAAAATCATATCTAACATTTAGTTTTTGTTTCATTTAGTACCTCAACGTTAAAAACTTAACGGCTGATTTGCAAGTGACACTTTTTATAGCTAAATTGCATCATTCAATTATCTTTTCACTCTTATTTTTTATCATTAAAGTTTATTTTTTTAATTTAATTACTTAACTTTCAAATTACTCTTAATTTAATCACTCTCACTTTCAAATTAATTTTTATTTTCAATTTTGTATTAATAAAATAATTAAAAAATGTCATGTCACAAAATTATTAATAAAATAAATTAGAGTGATTAAAATATGACCAATTTGAAAGATGAGTAGTTAAATTGAAAATTTTTAAACTTTAGTACCAAAATAAGAGAGAGAATATAATTGAATGATTAATGATGTAACTTACCCATATTAAGTTCTTAACGACAATATACTAAAATGAAACAAAAACTAAATAAAAGTGAGAAGATAATTAAGTGATTAATAATATAATTTAAACTTCAGTTTTAGGCGAGATGACTTTAGTTTCAGCAAAGCTCGAGAAGCTAATGATGTCCGGTACGATTCATAAATTATGCTTGAAACAATAATCTGTCATTGGTATGATGTCAGTAGTGGCTAGGATTTCTGGCCTGCAATCCAGGCATGCACTTCTTTGATTCTTAAAGTGGCAGGAAAAGGTTTAAAACATCTCATTTAAGATATTTGTTTTCCCATTTTGCCATTCGGATTTAAGTTCATTATTTGCCGAAGCTAAAGTGCTCTTTTGGTGAAGATATTATTTGATCAGAGGAAGAGCTAATGCCTAATACATGATGGTTAGAGTTCTGTTTGATTAGTGCTTTTACTTTTTGCTATTGGTCCCTTATATTTAATTCCATTTGCTTTTGGTCACTTTTTCCTTTTTCATTTCTCCTTTGTTTTTCATATGGACCATATCCGTGAAGAATGCATAACTTGATAGCTTCCTGAAATAGGATATAATTTTATTGACTGTAAAAATATGCAAGAGAAACTTGTTCAGGGTGGTGTTCGTCCAAAAGTCTAGAATGTTGTTGCTGTCCAACAAACTTGTAAGTTCCTTTTTCTCTCATGTTTATGTAACTTACCAAAATCCAATTTTGTTAAAGCAATCAAGCATTTCTCGTTGTCTTTTTGGTCCTTCCGTCCCTTAACGTTCTGAATTTTTTTAGGAAGATGCCTTCATCGTTCCTGATTTCGTTGAGCAACTTCTCTCTGATTATGTAAGAAGGTTTCATGAAATCAAGGCTCTTAAAACAGAAAAAGAAGAAGAAAAATCAAACGGTCTGTCAAACATGTTGAGTCAATTGGTTTAACGTGCAAAGTCAACATTCCGTTACTGCAGTAATTGTTGTTAATGGCGAGTGACCGATTTGTAACAAATCGATAACGTTAGTGACCAATTTGTTATTTTAAAAACTTCAGCGAGAAAAATGAAAACTTACTCCGATATTAGTGACTTTTGTGTAGTTTATCCTTAAATCTATTACTTCTCTTCTAGGCAAAAAGGCACACGAGGTATTCTCTTAACTAAAAAACAATGTGGCCCTCGTTTTATGTTTTCTCTCGATGTGACTTTCGAATTCGAAAAAATAACTCAATGTGACCTTTTGACCAAAGCTTTTTGTCGTTGACCAATATCGTCGTTAATTTTTCCTGATGTGGCACGTCAAGCAAGCTACCTCCCTCTGTTTAACGTTGTTATAAATGGGTAAATTACACCATTAATCACACAGTTATCTTTTCTCCTATTTTAGTCACTAAACTTTAAAAAAATTCAAATTAGTCACTCAACTTTTGAATTGCTTCTCTCTCTATATATATATATATATATATTGATAAATTGAATTGCTCCTATTTTGAATTGCACGACCTCCCTCGTTTTTTTCCCACTGCCAACGCCATTCGTACCCCCCCCCCCCCGAATAACTAGGGTTTCACTCTCACCCCTGCTTAAATTTCACCATTTCCCAACTCCCTTCGTTTTCCCTTCACAATTCTCTCAGCCTTAACACTCCAAGAACATGGTGCAATTCGATTCGAATTCAAATTCCGCCCCCGCCGTCCACCACTCTAAACCACCGGACTCATTTCAGCTCATGCTACTAGAATCTATACACCGGTTTTTCACCCAACACCATAGCGGTTCGACTGATTTTTCCAATTTCACATCCATTCTCTCTCGCTTGCCACAGTATCTACCGATCCGCCGCTCGAATTCGTCTGGTTTTACTCGTATGTAACTTTCCATTCCACTAATAAATTTAACTCCTCGACTTCATCTCATATGTAACTTTCCATTCCACTCCCTCCCGTTATTTACCAGCTTTACCATTTAGTTTTCAACCAAAAAGAGTTTAAAATGGAAGTGAAGAATCTGCTAGAAGGGATTGTGAGTTACATTAGCATACGTTGCAGTATGGAAGATGATGGCAACGACGATTTGAGTTCGCGTTTTGGTGATTTGTTGCGTGTTTGGATGATAGATAGAGTTGAGAAGGAAGGTGAGAAGAGAGAGAACATAATTAATATTACTTTAATCATGTATTAATAAAATAATAATAATAAATGTCACATCACATAAATATTAATAAAATAAATCATGGTGATTAAAATAGAAACAATTCAAAATTGAGTGATTAAATTGAAATTTGTTAAAATTTAATGACTAAAATGGGAAGAAGAAGATAATTAAGTGATGAATGATATAATTTATCATTTATAATAACATTAAATAGAGGGAGATTGATATGCTTGACGTGTTATGTCAGCAAAAATTAATAGCACTGTTAGTCAATGATAGAAAATATTAGTCAAAGTACTACTTATTATTATTTTTTTTGAGTTAGAAGATCGTATTGAGGAAAAAAATAAGACGAGGATCACATTGATTTTTTTTATTTTTAGGGATATTTCCGGAACAGTTCCAAGGCTAACACATCAAGCAAAGCCATTATTAATCTGAAAACACCATATTTTCTATTTTACAATTTAAAATGTTCAAAATCAAGCATTAATCGTACATGGGGCGTATGATGCATGACCTTCATACACTTCCCTACAATCTAAGTTTTATTCATTGAAAGCAAACTTCATCTTATTATTATATACCTTAATCAAACCTCCTTCCGAAACCCGGATTTTCGAAACATATATCGGATGATTCTATAAAAACCAGGTGTCTTCAAGGATGTCGAGACGTAAAATCTCACTTCTTGGAACCAAGGGGACTGCTACATAGATCATTCCATGTGTCCTGAATTCTTCTTAAAGAGGGCGTATGCGTCGCTGTATATGGCTATCACGTTCGAGAATACTGCGAGGACAATCATTAAAAGAGCTAAGATAGTGTCTTTCTTTGTTGCTATGAAGTGGTGATCCCTGAAACGCCAATGGAAACAGAATTAGACTAAAAACCAACGGTTGATACGACAACTTGTATGTGCACTGAAAACGATCGAGATGGATACGAACTTAAACCCGAAAATATTAGGCAAATGAGTAGGGCAGATGAGGCAGGAGCAAAAATTCTAAATAACAATCCACATAAAATCAAAGATGTACCTAAGAGGTAACATCTCATGATTCTGGAAACACCAAACTTTTCGAGATACCGAACACTAAAACCATGTGTCACCAGGTTTAAATACAAATCAAGTTTCGTATGCAATTGAATCCTATATATGAGCATTTCCAAGCCACTGCCAACCATGTTTCAGTATCAATTTTCCTCTAATGTATGAGACGAGAAAGTTGATCACAGGTGTGAAAGCAGGGAAATTAAAACGTAGCTGATTCTAGTTGAATCGGAAGACCGAAAAACTCACCTAAGAGTAACCGCGGCAGGAAAGATGAACCCAAGACAAACTGCAGCAGTTGCTCCGGTGAACTGGAAAGCATCCCAGATGCTGGGTATGAAATTAGCACCCAAGAAGATAACTGTGATGAGTCCGACAGTAATACATGCAAACCTCGTATTAGACAGAACTAGAGGCCTTGCAGAAGGGAAGAGGAGGCCGTCCATGTTGAGTCGCAGTGGATAGAAAACAATGGGAAATACAAGCATGAGGTGAGCAACGTAGCTGACACGGACAGCATCATTAAGCAGGGAGCTATAGGGGATTCCAAGGTCGGTATCAAAGTTGGCAAGCACATCATCCAATGTTCCGTCACCAAATAGAAGAAACCCGAAAAAGCTTATCATTATGTAAACCGATGAGCACAAACCCAATGCTGTTCGTACAACCGGTCTTATCTGGGTAGGGTCTTCCAGTTCGTTATCTATGCTGTGAACTGCAAATTTACACACACATGAAAATCAATCATTCCCGTTATGACGAACCAATGTTAAAGATAAAAGGTACAAATTAGCTGACCCTATTCCCATATGTAATGGGATAAGGGAGATAGGATAGTAGGCTGCTGCCCCCAACTCCAGGTTGAGAGCAACTTCCGTGGGAGACCTCCGACAATCAGAATTATGAATTGCCCACCGTGAGACTTAATCCCACGACCACAAGGTTAAGAGCCTTGCACTCTTACCAACTGAGCTGGACATAGCATTTCATGAATCAACTCGCATACCATTGTAGTGGCAGATGTATGCAGTGACTAAAACGGGGACTACTGTGAAGAGTTTCCAGAATGACGTCAAATCGGTGACATCGGGGAGTAACCTAGGCATTATTATAGTTCCACTAATCAGCTTGATAATTGCTATTCCGACAGTGATGACAAGAAACACAACTGCTAGAGCAACTGATAAGGCGGATGTAAATCTTAAGGAATCTGCAAATGAGAAGGCACTATCGCTCATTAGTCACATACAAATAAAACAATAAAACCTCACTACAAACTACTCGATTTAGATTTATTCAGGTGTAAATGTAGACCGAAAAGTACTACTGAATTCTATGTAATACACATATGTTAAGCACTTTAACAGCATCTATATCAATTGCAGTTGGAATATATTGGATATTTTTGAGAAATGATACAAAAATTATACGAAAGCTGATTCAGAAACCTTGAACTGATTCATAAATTATATTCTTTCGGGGAATGATATATTTAAAATTCTCGACAAGGCGATTAAGTTTTCACAGAGATACTACTGTAAAATACTGAAATAATTTCAATCATTTTTTTATGGAGTCAACATATGATTTATCTAATGATCTACCAAGAACAAGCAAGACAATTCACTAGAATCCAGTAAAGCTAGCAAAGCCAAAACACTAACCGATCCGCTTAAAACATGCCAAGGGAGCGAAGATGCCGAGTGTAGTGATGAGAAGAATAATGGATCGTCCGTTCCACCAGTGTTCTCCGAACCACCCTTCGAGGACTCCTGCATGGTGCACCCCACTTGATGATGTTCCAGACAGCACATCACCTTCATAAAAACAACAAACCATCATTAGTCCATAAGCAAATTAGCACATTACCATAAGATCAGACTAAAGGCAGCCTAATGACATCATAGAGCAACCAAATATGCAATTCGATTGAAGGAAATAAAGCTTTTACCAATAATAATCATGTAAACAATGAGTACACCAATGTTGTTGACCAGAACACAGATTTGCAAAAAGATTCTTCCGTACTTTCCAAACGCATCTCCCATGAGACCTCCATAAGAATTTGTTTTCCCAGCTCTACTGAATCTAAGCAAGAATTCAATAGATGCATCAGTTAAGAATGCCATGAAGACGATCATGGCAATCCCAAGAATCAATCCCAGAACTTTCATTGTTGCAGGCAAGGCCATGATCCCAGCACCAACAATTGTTGTTGATAAATTGAACACCGCCCCAGTAAATGAAGCTCCATTGAATTCATCATAACCAGCTGCTTCATCTTGATGTTTAGGCAACAACGGAGCTTTCTCATAAACAACATGCTTGCTCCTCCTTGACTTTCTCTCCTTCTTTGATGTTATATCCCCAATTGTCATCTTTTGAATCACCTAAAACTCTCAAAGATTCGACTTTCTTAAGAAAATCTAAACAAACTCTTCAGCACACTGCAATTCTGTCCACATAAGAGAATACTAAAACATTATTTCCTTAAAATCAAAACCAAAAAAGGGGTAAAGCATCAATTTTTATAGTCCTAACCTGTAATAAAATCCAAAGCTTTCAGGTTGGAAAAGTTGCAAATCTTGTCCAAAAAAGGATGGAATTTCCAAGTAAGATATCAAGATGACCCTAAAAAAGGTTAATTTAATGTACAGATTTTTTTATAAATAATAGAATGCTTGTACACGATCAACAATTACAAAGGCTGAGTCTTTGATATCAAAATCAAAGAAAAGAAACCAACCCAAAGATCCAATCAACAAAACCTTGAAAACCCAATTTACAGATTCTAAGGAGAGCACCAAAGGAAACAATCAAAAAATATGAGCTTTGAAATGAAGAATTCAGGTAGACCCAACAGCCAAGAAAAGAGGACTTATATAATCAAGGCAAGGAAGCGAAAAACTACACGGCAAAAAAGGTCGTATGTGATGACAAATAAATTAAAATTTGTTTTTTAATCATTAAAAATATTAATTTTCATGATTATTGCAAGGAAAATAAAACAGGTTTGTGTAACCCACTAGCCGCAACTAGCTGACTATAAAGGTTTAGTATTCCATTATTTCTGTATGTTAGTTTAATTTTTCATTTTATTTTTTTTTATAAAATTTTAATTATTTTTAAATTATTATTCCATGCTCAGTTATTTTGGTAATATCACTTTACCTTGATCATTGTTTCAGTTTTTTTTTATATAAAAGAAAGAGAATACAACTTTAATGACTGAAAATGTCTCATAAAATATAATTTTAACCAATTTTTTTAAGATTATAAAAATGACCAATAAATTCGCAACGCGAACTCTAATTTCGCAACTCAGTTTTAAAATCCGCAACGCGAATATGTAAATCGCATTCGCAACACAAAATTTGTAAATCGCAACGGGAATTTGTAATTTGCAACACAGAGTCAAATTCACAACACATAAGTCAAATTCGCAAAGCGCGTTTATTTTCGTAACACGGATTTTGTTTTCGAATTCGAAACACAATATTAATTTCTCAACACAAATGTAAACAGTATAATCGCAACTCATAACCTAAAACCCTAAATCACAACTCAGTCCCATCTCCATCTCTCACTCTCTACGGCAATATCCGTCCCCATCTCCGAAGAAATATGTCCTCATATCCGGCGACCCCCCTCTATCTCCATATCTTAGAGCCACCCTCACAACCATTCACGGGCACAAATGGAAAATCAACCACCGAGGGTTAGATTTTTTAATTATTTTTATTTTAAATTTTTTGTATTATTATTATTATATTTTTCATATTTAAATTGATGATAAATTTACTGCTAATTTCAATATATAGATTAATCATTTCACTTAGATTGCTTAGTAAATTCATTCGGTTGCTGCCAATACTGCTAAATTGTTTATTCTTTAACCCTGTAAAGTTAATATTTGTCTTTGTTTTGTCTTTTGGTTGAAGTAATGCAATTCATTCAAGTTTCAATTTGCAGAAGAATAGTTTTTGAAACTTAAATTCGCAACACGAAAATGAAATTCGCAACACGAAAATCGCAACGCGAAAATGAAAATCGCAACGCGATTTTTGTTTCGCGTTGCGATTTTCATTTTCACGTTGCGAATTTAAGTTTCAAAAACTACTCTTCTTCTTCAAATTGAAACTTGAATGAATTGCATTACTTCAACCAAAAAACTATGATAGAATAATGACTTGGGTGAATACCGTGCTAGTTTGAAACATATTTTGCTTTGTTTTCACTGTTTAATATCATGTCTGTTTATAGTGTATAATTTGTAGTTTTTGGTATATATAACTTGGTATGTTTATTATTTTTGTTAGAAATTTTTTTCGGCTTCATTGACTCTAAGGAATAAATTAAGCTTAGCCACTACAATAGCGTCGACACTTACACCTATACAAAGAAAAATGTTTGAGGATACTTACTTCGGGCCATGGCTGAAAGTACAACATCTAGGTGGATATGCTATGTTGACCCATTTGTTTCTTCAGACCATGACTAACGATCTACCTGAGAGAATACAACGTGGTGATGAAGAGATATGGTTTCATTTTCCACCGGCGTATACTTGTTTTGGGCGAGAGGAGTTTTGCTTAATCATTGGTCTACGTTTTGGACACGATGAAGTAGGTCGGTACACTAGTCATATCGCCCGACCATCATGGTTATCTCGGTTTTTTCCTGAGCTGAAAAAGGTGAAGCCCAGTTTACACGTCGACTCCTTGAAAAGATTACTTCTTAAAGATGGTTTTACTCGGATGGATGACCTTGATGTTGTCCGAGTATGCCTTTTATTACTTTGAATGCCAGTTTTTTAGGCAAAGAGGCCAGACGACCTATTTTTGATGACCTAATATTATTGGTAGAGGTCCTAAATGCATGGAACGTGTTTCCTTGGGGTTCATATCTATGGAAAGCTACCTGGAAAAAGTTATCGTCTGCCTTTGAGGACCGTCGTAGTTTGCATGGTCATGGTTCCAAATACACTTTGGTAGGCCTTATTTGGGCCTTTAAGGTAAGAATTTCTATATAATGTTTCTAAAATTATAATTAAATTTAATAATTACTAAAAAATTAATGTTTGAGTATTATATTGTTTGTAGATTTGAATATTTGAGGCTTTTCCCAGCATGCATGCATATGCAATCAAAAAATCAAATGATATTCCTAGGGCTATTACCTGGAGGAGTATCCGACTACTGGATTGGGAAGATTTATTACCATATACGATGATGAATTATGTAAGTTAACACAAATACTACCATATATAAACAAGTTATTACTAGTAGATGTTTGACTTTGTTTGAGCTTTTATATTGTTAGGAGGCAAACTATCCATTACAGAGGCTGAGCTTGCCACTGATTGGTGGCAAGCTAGTAAGCGTTTTTTTGATGGGAATGATGATGAGTACCCCCCACTTCGAGAGACATCACCTGATCGAGCCGATTATACTCCTCCACACTGAGATCCATCACCTATTCTATCACATCATCGAGCCTCTTCTCTACCATCACCTCATGATAGGCGACCGACAAAGATGCCACGACATTTATTTCCCCGTTCTCCACCTCTACGGGATGAGTTAGGGGAGTTACGTGATGAGGTCAGTACTTTGCGTGATAAGGTCGGTACTTTACGTGACGACAATGGTGCATGGCGTGATGATGTACTGTCTTTACGTGGTGAGGTAGATGTTTTACGCGATGACAATGGTGCTTTACGTGGTGAGGTATCTACTTTACGTGATAAGTTTGTCGCTCTACGTGAGATTGTTTCATCGTTGCAGAATGAGGTTCATACTCTACGCAATAAGGTAAGTTTGTTTAATACTATACTAAAAATGCAAATAACATTTTTTCGGCATTATTTATTTATTTATTTACTGATTTATGTATTAATTTATTTTTAGCGGTCCGATAAAGTAGATGTTTTACTTAGGGTTTTTCTTGCACAACGGGGTTCACGCATCAGACGTCGTGCACATGTAATTATGTCTTATTTCACCCCGATGGTTCCAAGACTCCGTAAGAAGAAGCCCGATTCACCTGTCATTATTCAAGAGGCCCCTCCTATTGTTCAATAGGCCCCTATCATCGTTGAATAGGCCCCTCTCATCGTTGAAGAGGCCCCTCCCACCGTTTAAGAGGCCCTTCTCATCGTTCAAGTGGTCACTCCCACCGTTCAAGAGTCCGATTCACATGACATACTATGTCGACATATTGATAAACCCCCTCACGTGCCCGGTATGATGGATGAGATTTGGCTTTCATATGAGTTACCGGCCAATACCATTCCTCAGCAGGAGAGGAGAACACTACCGGACACAATTATGGATAATACCCTTTGGGCTAAGACCGCAATTGATTTTTATCTACATGAGCGGAGCCAGGGGTGTTACGCTGACATATGCAAAATCGATGATAGTATGCATTTGTTTCTTGATCGGTCTTGATGGGGTATTTTATTAGGGGTTGAAGAGAATGACTATTTCGAACGGGGGTAAGTCTTATATTATTCTTATATTGCATTTTGATTATTTTTTAAATTTATTTAATTAAATTAACTAATATATGTTTTTTTTTATAAAATAGCATATTGATGCATGGGTGTCACGTCTTCTGATTATAAGGAAATTGAAAAAAATAAAAAAAACGCGATGGACTATTATGCCTTCGTCTTTTCACGTAGCTCACTTGAAGGATTAGAGAGACGATTCATATGCATTGGGTAATGGAAAAACTATCATTTATCCTGCGTGGTGGGAGGTCGATAAGGTTAGTATTTATTTTGAATATTTTAAAGGTGTTCGTAAATTTTATTTGATATGCGCAATTGAATTATTATTTATGATTGCAAGTATTTATCCCTGTTATGGAACGTCGTCATTGGCTTATCGTCGAGCTTCAGCTCCCATCCCTGAAGACGATAGTATATGACAGCATGTTGAGTTACATATCATTGTCTGATTTGAAAGATATTATTTGTAAGGGATGAAGCGCTCATTTGGCTAAACACTTGGATGCGATTGATTATTGGACTAATTCTGGAAACAAGAAGCCAAAAAAGTTCAAAGTTACAATGATGAGAGACGATACAGCGCCACAACAAACGGCGGGAGCCAGAGGGGATTGTGATCCTCTTGTATACATGTACTTGGAACGTTTGACGACAGGAGGTAAACAGTTTCTACCTCCCATAGATAGAGATAGAGGTGCAGTAAGGTTGTGGTTTTGGCATTTTATGGCTAGAGCGATATATTTGAGACGTTGCCTACCTGCATCCGCGTGCTGAAAGTGTGCATAAACAACCATTTGTTATTGGTAAGTTTGAGCAAGTGTTGTTAACATATATACTCTTTGTTGGTTTGAAAATGTTTGGTTAAGTACCTAGAATTCAATAATTTATTTTTTGTTGGTTTTATATGTGTAGAAAATCTCATGGTCATAACGTTTCTGTAGGTTACTAAAGTGAGCTGCGTGAACAAATTGATGTATTTGGATGTAAGCTCCTTATTGTTAGGAGCATTTGGATATACTGTGAACAAATGTTTTACATATATATAGCAACTCATCTACAATGTTGTTTAATTGATTTGTTGTTTAATTTTCAATCTCATGTGATTTTGTTTTTTCGCAACAATCGCAACTCAAATTTGACTTTCGCGTTGCGAATTTGACTCAAGTTACTAATGCATGTTCAACTGAAAATGTTCAAACTCAAGTTACTAATGCATGTCTAATTGAAAATGTATGCATTCACACATAAAAAACACATAATACAACATTTGTATTTAAAAATCACACCTAAAATACATGTTCAAACTCAACAGAACATATCATAGCAATGTTCAAACTCAAGTTACTAATGCATGTCTAAC